TGGGTTGAAGTGTTCTGGAACAGTGTTGTAAATATAACTTAACCAGTGATTTCTAGTCGTGTCCTCTTTTGGAAGACCAAACAAAGTAGTTTCGGATTGTTTTCAGAAAAAGACATGAAAAAAATCATGAACGTGTCATGAAACATGATTGTTTCATAAGTTGGCCGAGTTGTGCATTTTATGTTCAATCAGATAAAGACATTTTAATGGAAAAATGCTACTTCCTAAAAATAAGATGTATGTTTACGTAGATATATATTTGCAAAACGTGGGTAGATAACCTCACAAACATTCCTGTTGCTCACGACAAGACCTCGCAGATAGTCGAAAGCATTGAATGAGGCTCATGAATTCTCTGGGGGTCTCCAAGGTTGATATGAGTGTCGGAGCACGTTATCTTGAAGTGCTAAAAATAGGCACTGATCTGAGTTTAGCCTACGCAATGGCTCTTTGCCATGTACAGAATGTTTTAACCTGCCATCTCTCAACACCTCCAGGAGACTCTGAAATGCCACACAGGTGAGATGAATTTAAAGCGAGCAGGATGCAAGTGTCCAGTATAAAAGACAGAGGAGTACTGTAGAGGAAGAGTTGTAAGAGTTTAAGTTTTGAAAGTTGAAGCTGTTGCTGTACATGTAGGAGGTTTGTTCAGATAGCAAAATCTTGTGTGCATTTCATATGTAGACAGAGCTTCTGTTTGATAAACACATTCAGCCATTTGTGTAAATACGTCTATTATTAGTGCAGGTCAAAACTAACAGGAAATGCACCACCAAAATTATTTTTCAAAAGTGAGTTTCCAGTACTCAATGTCCTGCGGCAGTTTGCCTAAAAAAATCAGTTAATTGGGGTAGATGCAATGTGCATTCGAAAAAGTAGTTTATATGTTATTATTACTACCAGTCTTGTAATAAAATTCTAAGAACTTTTCTTTATGTTGATCTGCCCAATATGAGAACAGTTTTTTTTTCTGTTCGAAAAAGATGGAAAAGTCAAGGCCCAGTACACAAAAACTGTTGGTTTTGGACATCACCTGCTACTGTTACATAATGTTACTTACAGCAATGCAGGTAAAATTGGTCGGGGGAGACTCGTGGTTTGTGCACTGACCCATAAGTCACCTTGTAAGTCATTAAAAATGGGCAGCAGCTCTAATAGGGCTGCAGATAGCAGGGGAAATGCAAGATTAAATGGAGTAATAAAATGCAACTAACCATTTAATCCTGAATAGTTATGGTGGCAAAAAAATAAATAGGGTTTTATTAGGGAGGAAAAAACAACCCTCCCACATCATTCACTGTTGATATGCACGAAATCAGAATTTTGCTACATTATATAATGCATACATAAAATAATATAAATATTAAAATATATAAAAGTAATACAAGTAATATAAATAGAAAATAAAATATATAAAAAATACAATTATTTTATTATATTTTATTACAGCTTAAAACCATTTTTTATAGAAAATAGATTAAAGGTTTAAAACAAATGAAAACAACTTCCGATTACAATATTTTCATTTTAATCCCCTTTAAACTTCATATATACAGTAAACTCCAGAAGTTTAAAAACACTGGATCATTGTACAATATATCTACAAATTTATAATCACAGTTTCACTCACTATACAGTAAAGCAGAGCACAAATGACAGACCATCAACACGATTTTTTTCTTTTTCCCATCAGTTTCAATTCACCATTCACAAACACACATACATGCTTCAAGAGATCTTTCTAGTATTTTGAGACATTAAATAAATTATGAATGTAAAGTACACTGATAAATTACCGACCGATTGTAGAGTCCTCAATTCGCTATTAAGGGCTCTGTGTAAATGCTTATTTTCCTGCTAGCATTGCATAATTTCCTTCATCCAGCGGTTTCCGGAATATCTGCAATGTGTTTGCGATTTGGGAGTGCTGAGAGCTAGAGCGCAGGCTCTCAGTGTTAGAACAACTGATATGACCTTGACAAGCTTATATTGCAGTATGTCAAGTTATTATAAACCCTTTATCACAGTGTATGGGCATGATTTTACTTTCAATAGCGGTTCAAGCGTGAGAAAATCCAGAAGACTGAGAATGGCACTAAAATGGTTGGTAAACTGGCTGAGATCTGCCAATTATCTGCTCTAAAGGTGAACGTAAAAAAATCCATCAGCAGCATCCGACGGGGCGATCCTTCATCATGCAGCCCCGCATGAAGGGACGGAAGGAGAAGCAGACCAGTGATGCCTCAGGCATTCGCGATTCATCTGTTGGAATGGATTCAACTCTGCACGATGTTGTGTACCATATGGTTACATCACCACGGAACTGGATGGATTTTGCTGGAGTCTCAGATGGGCCGCTGGCTGGGGCGATTACGGCTCAGTCGAACAAACAAAGAGGGAGGTTAAAATTGCACTTTTGCCCTTAATATTTACAATGTCTCCTTCATTTCACAGGGATTTTACACTCTGCGTCTCTTTGGGGAGCAACAAACTCTTCAAAAGCAGCACAGGAACGTCATACACAAGAAAATAATTGAAAAAAAAAAAAAAGCTGGAGCATAAAAATAAAAATAATTGCAAGGTTGTTTCTACAGAAAACATATAAGCAGAGGTAGAAGGGGGGGAAAGCAGAAGAGGAGGGGAAAAACAATAATATTTAATTACAACTTAATCCAGATAGAATGAACCGCAAGCTCCCTTAAGACTAGCCCTACATGTATCAACATTTCTGAGATGTAGTTATTCATTCTGATTAATCTGTTTAACTTCATAATGAGACAGAGCAAGAGCTGTGTTTTTTGGCATGGCCCTTCTCGCCTAAGTGCTTTGCGAGCGAGAGATAATGCTATCCGGGAGTAGCAGTAACCTAGCAGCAGCTCAAACGGGGAATGTTGCCCACACTCCTGGGTCAGAGCATGTGGGATTAGACGCAAGGGTCCTTCTCATTACATAATACATTCATTAATTGGCACGTTTGTATAAGAGCGGCGAGGAGCGGCCATTAACCAGCGGTGCAATGAATAGAGGAAAAAGTCTCTAAAGAGCTGCAGAATCTCCATTATTCCAGCACATTTTGTTCTTCATAAGAGCGTGGGGTCACATTTATGAGAATAGTCATTCATCTACCAACTTCAAACACCACGTCGTTGGATTCAGACTACAATTCTGCTCTGAACCTGATGAACGGAGTCATCAAGGCACAGATGAGGAGGCTACATCGCAGGGGACGGCGAAGAGAGGACAGTTGGGCACGATGTGAAAAAAGTGAGCACAGGCTCTTGGTAATCTCTTTGCTTTCCAGTCATTTGTCACACAAGTCTCCTTAGTTAGCGCAGTTCAGTCCTTGTTTTGAACTGTGCCTCCAGTGTATAAAACAGACTGAACTTGTCTGATGAAAAGAGCACTGTTTTGATCCCGAACTGAGTAAATCGTTTCGTAACGGGCTCAGTCGTACAGCGTGTGCTATTGTAACATCCTTCCCCTCGAATGACTTCACTTCCTTCCAGCTGTGTAATCCGGCACTCTTTGCTGTTTGATTAGTCGTTCGATCTCCGAACCCAGCGTTTGGAGATTCTCCTGTAGCAAGAGAAACAAATCAGACAGCTGTGAGGACTTATGCTATTATTTCCACTGCCATTCAATTCATATACACAGAAAGCAAAAAGAGGCACATCTGAGAAAAGCGAGAATGTAAGCTAGGATAATCAGGCAATTTCTGTCCGTTTTGCTTCGAAACGGTCTGATTTCCTGCTCATCTCATGCTAAGATCGTAATCCTGCCATTGTGCTTTGAATGGAGCTCTGCGTTCCCCTTGCGCACTGTCCTCAAAACATACTTTATTAATTTCTCTGATCTCCCTGCTGATGTGCTCCCTCAAACAGGAAAGCTGCTGTCCCTGTTGTGACCTGGATGCTGCTCTATAACTGAGAACTAGTCACTGCCAGCATGGGAATTTGTTCACTTACTCAACAGTCATCCATCACCACCAAATTTGCTTTTCTTTCGATAGCATCACCAGGAATCTAGTTACGCAGAAGCTTAGTTTAATAATTGCAATTACATCAGCGGATGCCATTGTGGAACTCAATACTAACATAAATATATCAACACCTAGTTTGTCTATATATGGCCACACTGTTGCAAACGCATGCTGTGAAAGGACATAGAGACCCCGTGAAACCACTTGACGAGTGCAATTTTCTCTTAAGCGCTGATGTACTTCCTGCTGAATCAGAAGGTTTGAGTGGGACATATAAAGAGGCTTGTCTATGAATACATAATATATTGGTACCACATCAGTTACTTGCTAATACTAAATATTTATTGCATTGATCATTTTTGGATATTGCACATACACGTTACCTTTGCCGTAATCTAATGCTTAGTAATCCAAATATAAATTTTTTTTTTATACTGTACATTATAATGTTGTGATGCCTAAATCCACTTGTAGCATTCAAAATGACGGATTTTTGATTATAGTATTCATACAAAATACTATGAAATGTATTATTGGCTATAACATGAAAATAATTACTGGCTTACAGAATTTATAATAATACTGGGCTCATCACTTGTTTTGTGTAGCCATGAATCTGCGTAAATCAACCTTTAGGGTAAATGCCGCACAATTGTGAGTTTTGTGTAATGGCAAAATAGCTCCCCATATATTTTGCTCGTATTCATGTTGACCATGCAAATTCGCTGCGATGACAAACAGAAAGCTACCTGGTTTCAAAGTGCTTTGTAAGTCACCACACTATTTACAATGGACCCTTTTATGTGATCACACCTTTAAGTGTATACTAGAGCTGGGCAACATATAATAAAATAATTATAAAAATAATTTTATTATCATTAAGAATTACATTTTTATTTAGTTTGATTTCATTTAGTAAAATATTTTTGTCATCATTTCTTCAAGTTAAACAAAACTTTTATTTTGACAGTTTGCCATGAAGAGCTTTCAGTTTCAGTGTGCATTTGACGGTAGTTTTTTCTCATATAAAATGGTTAAATGCTCGTGAAGTGACTCTAGGAGCAGCTCTGGAGATGAAGTTCACATGGACTGTCCTCATATACCGAGTCGGCAGACGTCTCTTCACAGAGAGAGACATGCGGAACTTGCAGATTTATTAGCGACAAGCACTGACTGGCTGTTGTTTTGTTTATTTTTGCTGTGTGTGAGAGGCTGTTAGATTAACCCATATTGAGTAAAAATGTCAAGAGCTTATCATCATTATCGACTTCACTGCAATCTTGATATGATATTGTTTTTGGCCCAGTGTATATTAGCAATTAAATGGCTTAAATTGCTTAAAACTAACTAAAAGATACGGCCTACAAGCCACAAAACTCCTATTTTAACTTCATAGGGTGGATGGTGTGGATGTGTATGGTGACTTCTACCTTCAGTGTGATGTTTTTGAGCAGGGTGTCCTCTAGCACAGCCTGGAGTTTGCGGTTGATTTCCAGTGAGAGGTCAAGAGTGAGGCCGCTGTCGGCGGGGTGGGAGGTGTACAGCGATGCCATGATACCTCCCCTCCGGCTCAGATGGGCTTTGTTCAAATCTGAGGCTTCTGAAGACAAAGCTCCAGACTCTTCTCTGAGCACGTAACTTTGGATAATCCTGCAGGAAACACACAGAATTTTAACTGCATCGTGCGCTGAATAGCATATATGCACATGCACACATAGCAATTTTAAGTGTCAATGAACTCTCAAGCCATAAAGGCCATTGCCACACTAATAACCCTCAGCAAGGAGGTAAAAGGTGATGTTACGAACAAACCCGGGGACAGAAGAGGGAAAGACGGCAGCCTCTAGAACCCCATTAGCCGTATCCACCTCATCAGTGTCTCTCTCTTTCACTCTAGATGATAAATGAGTTTCACAAATAACAGATTAGAAGGCTTTGAACAGCTAAATCTCAGCCAGCTGGTCTCATAAGTTTTATTTAACGTGACACTCATTTCATTAAAAAAGCTTTTCATGCCATTGTCACTTTTGCAGGAGTACTTCCTGAAAAAAAAATCAATTAGCCTATTTTAATTAGTGAATGAATATAGCGGTCATCTACTAAGTGTAGATAAAGGCTTCTTGATTTTGATTTAAGACTGAAAGGTTTTTTGGTTAACGGCTTTTCTTGAAAGAAAGTATATAAAAGATTGGTTTTCAATTAATCAAATTAAATTGAAGTCATAGTATGGCCTTGTGTAAAAGTCCTTAACAAGTGTAAAAGGTTATATGCAACTTTACCTGAATGAAAACAAGGCTCAGAGAAATATAAGTACACCACAGCACAGAAAAAAAAGATGACAGCTTTTCATCAAATTTGGAATTAGGAGTATATATAAAAAATAAGCTCATAATGTTCATAATAATAATAATAACAACGATACATATTATTTTTCATTTCCTAGTTCAAATTGCTACCAAAATGTCAATCCCTAATTGTTGTAATCGTAATTGATGTAAAAAAATAAAAAATAACATTTAAAAAAAAGACGAAAGGAGAACACACTTTATACCCAGCGTTTTAGAGATCTTAAAAAAGCTTTAAGTTATAAAAAACATAATTCAGCTTTAAGTGCTTCAATTTGAACCACAGTGGTGGGCAGATGGAAATCTAAAGTAATTATCATCTACATCACTATTGTTGTTCATGTAATATGCTGGAATTGAAAGGGAAAAGGAAAAAAAACAGCCTGTGTGGTTTTCTATAAAGGATGATGTAGTGATGGAGTGATCTTTTAGTCTCCAGGAGAGAGTTCTCTCTTTAGCCACCACTATATCAAATCTATTTTGTCTGCAGTGACGCATGGCCCAAATAAAGGCTGAATTTGATTCTAATGGTTTCTTCAGACCAATGCTCGAAACAAAGACATTAGAGGACCTGAGGCTAAAGGTCTCCGCCTGAGAACAAAAAAAAAAACTATGTAAGTGCTTTCTGAATTGATGAATTCACTCTCATTTCACTGTCTGAATCTGAAATGAACACACTGGAGCATCTATATCAAACAAACTTTTAAAAAGAGTTGTGTTTTTTTCCATCCTGATGAATCAAAATGTCTCAGAGCGGTTATTTATCAGTGTGACAGAAAAGAAACCGGGGAAAATTCACAATTCTCTGCGATGTGCTGATGCTACATAAAGGACGAACACCCACACATATACATACACAAAGGCACACACAAAAGAAAGAAGATATAAAAACGAATAAACTTACCTTTCACTAATATGGGGTCCAAGTGGACCCCAGCTCCATAACGGTAGTATTTAACAAAACGAAACACAAAGAAATCAAAAAGTTGCCTCTAACTAAACATGCATGAACAATAACTGGAATTCATTGTAAGTTACCTGCACAATTTGGTAGTAATCCACTGCCACTACTGATTTTTTTTATTGGCTTTTATTATATAGGACAGTGGAGAACCGACAGTAAACTTGAGGGAAAGAGAGACAGAAAAGAAACCGGGGAAAATTCACAAGTCTCTGCGATGTGCTGATGCTACATAAAGGACGAACACCCACACATATACATACACATAGGCACACACAAAAGAAAGAAGATATAAAAACGAATAAACTTACCTTTCACTAATATGCTCCATAACGGTAGTATTTAACAAAACGAAACACAAAGAAATCAAAAAGTTGCCTCTAACTAAACATGCATGAACAATAACTGGAATTCATTGTAAGTTACCTGCACAATTTGGTAGTAATCCACTGCCACTACTGATTTTTTTTATTGGCTTTTATTATATAGGACAGTGGAGAACCGACAGTAAACTTGAGGGAAAGAGAGGGGGAATTGGATCAGGACATGACCCAGGCTGGACTACAGTACATCATGTGCCACAGCTCTGACACCATTCTGACATTTGATTTTGATTTGAAGACCTATTTGTATAAAAGAGATCACAGTTATAGCTTAAGCGCAGTGGCATGGCCTGATTCTCACAGCCTAGAGGCAGAAAAAGTGAAAGATAGACAGCGAGAACACCAGGAGTGTGTAGAAAAACAGACACAAGCCACAGAGCCAAATAAAGACAGTCTGGATTTGACAGTCTGTTCGTATATGTGACTTCTAAGCTTCTGTCTTCATTCAAGAAATCAAAAGACAAAATGTGAATCTTTATGTTTATTTTATGAGAATTGTGAGTTTCTAGCACTACAGCTGAAGCATGAGTAAAGATGAGAGCTCATATCAAAGATATTATCAAATCAAAGCTAATATCAAAGATGAATCTAGACAGCGCATCCCTGTTTCAATCAAGATGCAAAAGTGTTGATCAAAACACATATATGGGTCAAAAAATACCCATACAAGTAACCAGCCTTTGCAGTGACAGCATTTCATACGTTACGATCTCAAACTACATTATTAAAGTTTCTGAAAACGATCCTTGTCTGTGCAAAACTGCCACAATGTTGGAGTTCACCTGACAATATTTCCATGATTTCCAATGTTCTGATGATATACTGGTCCTTCGGGGGACGCATGTCAATTCGAGGGGTTCAGAGTCTAAACATTCAATCATTTTTTCCCACACATTTCATCATCCGCTGGACAAAAATCTCAAAAAGTAATAGCATACCTCTCCACACCAAGCCATTGTATGATTTGCTCATGCTCAAATTTAGGTAAGAGGTTTGTTCAAATTTAGCAAACACCACTAAATATAGCAATGATTTATGCACCATTCCAATAAAAATAAATCACATGCAAATCCAACGTCACTTGGTATCAATTCCAGAACATCAGCTATTTCCTCTAACCGCCCTTGATGAGAGGCGCAGTGAGTATACTTAGGCTTATCTCTTTAGAGATAAATGGAAATCCTCAGCTAGGTGTAGACACGCTGTTAAATCAAGGAAACCTTATTAAATCAACCTCAGTTTTATGCTGTAATCAATTTCCACTGAACCTTGAATGATATACCGGTCAGATCTAACCTTCCCGTGTGTCAAAGAATCACTCAAACGGCAACAGTCGATAAACACTGGGAAACATTCCACTGCTTGGGGAATTTGGACTCTTTGAGGAAGCTTAGCTGCAAGTAATGGCTAAAGATCAGCTAAGGAGGCTAAATTAAGCCTGACCTCAATGGGATGCGTCTTTGATTAGAACTAATGTATGTGGGTTAGTGCAGGTGGACCGATTCAAGGTCTATCATTACTCAAGTGATGGGAAAGGGACAGAAACGGCATTTCTATCCAGAGCAATGGCGGCAACCCAACTCGCAGCCCTCTGCGGCATGTTAAATTATTTATCTCATCCAAAGACATAAACAAAGTGCTCTCGTTCTCGAAGACCATTCACTTTGTTTAGCAAAAAGATGCTTTTTTCTGTGGCGAAATGGGCACCGCCGGCTTGATTCCTCATGTATGGAGGTGCGTATGAATATGTATCAGGCATCATTAGCAACCTCGGTGACGCATCACTCCCGCAAGAACCGACAGCTATAAATATCACTGCCAAGACCTCTCTGTCAGAAGCATAGGTTAGCTCAGTGTGTGTGTGTGTGTGTGTGTGTGTGTGTGAAAGAAAAAGATGGATGTCTGCCAGATTTCAAGATACAAGCCCTGGTCAGGAAGCCCCAGACAATAAATAAATAATAAAAAAAAAAAATTAAGAGAAAGAGAGGATTCAAGAGAGGGACAATGAGCAGCCAAATTCTACCAGATGGAAAGGAAGGGCAGCACTGAGAAATTCTCCAAACCAGGAGCTACTCTATAGTGGCAACACTACAGAAATATTTGGACACTTAAAATTGCCTGATCAGGTCAGATATAACAGTGTTAAATAATAAACACACTACAAGTCAAACTTGTGTTTTTATTAATGGGTTTGGCTTTTCCAGCATTTTTGTGTGGGCAAATTTGTGCTATATTAATTTAAAAATAAATGCCACATTTTGATATTTTATTAGACAGTCATACATTTTTCAGTGTGGCATAAGTGTCCAAATGCTTTCTGGTGCCACTGTATCCTTCTGCATTATTAATTTTCTATTAAACTCATGGATTCTATTTGGTGTTCTTCATCACAACTTTGGATATATTGGAAAACATATATATCAATGTCAGCCAGGCAGCTTCAAGCTCTTTTGTAAATGTCAAATTAAGCTTTGGGATGGGAGCAAAGAAGCTTTTCTCCATCGTCTTTTACCTTCCACTTTGTCTTTTTCGTTCTCACTCACTTTGTCTTTTTCCTGATCTCCTCCACCAACTGTTTAATGTGGTCCTCCATGAATTCAATCTTCTCGTTCTTACGAGCATGTGCTTTCTGCAACCGCACAATGCGCTCCACCAGCACAGCTTTGTCCACCTCGGGGAAGCTGTCCACCACGACCACCGATGAACCGGACTGATTCTCTGGAGAGCGATCATCCATACTGCTGCCTCGTGCGTTTAGAGAGCCTGAAAGTAAGAGATTCAAAACACTGCAGCTACAGTCACACTATAAGAGCAATATTACAAACAACACAGATAAGAAACTTGGCACTTAGATGTGAAGAACATTCTGGTTCAGTACATGTTAAGATTTATGCCACAAATGCTACTGGCAACGATGATCACCACAGAAATTCACTTTGACTGACTCATGTCTCAGTCTTAAAAATTGCAGGTTACAGTCACACACTTACAAGAAAGTAAACCAGGTCAGTATTCCACAGGGTTTAAATTCATAAATATTAAGATTAGATTTGTGTTAAAGCATGATTTTTGTAGTAAAACTTCACAGTATTTTAGTTTTATACTTACCTAAAGTGTCCTTTATGAAGTGGGACCATTTTTCTATATTTTGAAAGACAGGATATATCTTTACATATCCATTGTAAGCGTGTCACTGCATTTTTAATTTTTGTTTTTTGGCTTGTCAGATTTTCACCAAAGCTGCATTTTTGATCATAAACAGTAATACAGTGAAATATTATTAGAGTTTAAAATAACACTTTTCTATTTGAATATATGTGGACCTTCACAATAACTTATATAATAACTTACCTATTCATAGTTAGCCTTTTCAAAAGTATAATGCATTAAAAGACCCAATTTCATGTGTTCATTATGCGTTTCAATGGATTATGCTCTTCAACGGATTAGGTGCTTACGTGAATAGGTAATTATTATAACATATAATAACTGTACTTCTAACTATTTATGAAAAGATATGGATAACAAAGTATATTGTAATTAAGCAACATCACATGAGCAAGAGGTCTAAAAATCAGCAAGGGTGAACTGTTGTATAAGGCATTATGAATACTTTTATGATGCATTATATATAGGCCTCATGTAGAAAAGATATAAATGACTGAGTGCGTGTCGCTCTCAACGTCTCTAATGAAGTGTTAAACAGATGTACCTGAAGAACTGGAGCGGCTGCCCATGCTGCTCCCTTCTCGATCACATCCTCCATTCTCCACCTGCTCCAGCTTCTTACGAGCTACACAAGGGCACAAGCACACAATAAGGTCTTTCTTTCTCACTGACAGACACACACACTCCTGGCTGAAACACACACCTCAGTAACAGTAATGGGCCAATGACCTGTGCTTGTACCGCTCAGTGCCTCATTCTAGCTCTGCACCTGCTGGGGGTGGGTTATGACCCACCATAAAATTCCCACCCACCAGGCACATCTGTAGTGCCCGTCAACTATTCAGAATTAAGGTTCACATTTAACATGCAGACCTTGAAAAGATACTGAAGGTCACAGGGACCCAAAAAAGAGGAGGAGGAAAAAATAGATTCGTTTAAAAATACCTTCACGTACTGTATGCCTCCTCCGACACTAAAGAGAGTCCCATGGCGCACGTTGTTCTCCCTTGCCCTCCCTTCCTCATCTCTCCTCTCAAAGAAAAGACGCTATGAAACAGTCTTGTGCCCTAACCTAGCCTTTCCTGCGGCTACAGGCAGGCACAGATACATAAGCTCAATCTGTCTGCAATGAACGTCAGTCTGCCCCACCGAGAGCGTCAATATGGCTTGATAATTACTAACAGCGCCTGTGGGCTCCTGTGAGCGTGGAGAAGTAACTCACTGCGAGCCTATTAAAATAACAAATCAAATTCTAGTTAAGACATCTAGACACAGAGGAGAAAACAATATGAGAGTGGAACGATATAGACATTTTTTGTAATTGTGTTATGATTTGTTACTTTATTGTCTTTCATTTTGCATTAAAATCATTCGCATCAATGGTTCTTAATTGGAGGGTCATATATCGCAACCCAAAAATGGGTCACGGGGATGCTCTGATAGAGCAAACAGCATGAGGAAAAAAGCAATTCCAAATTAAACTAAACTTACAAATGTGCATATTTAGGATAAAAAATAAATCCGCTTTTTAAAGGGAGGAGAATATTTCCCATATTGACGTCAAAGGTTGTGCGTCCAACTCTACAGTATTTTGGCGGGAGATACTTGGTAGAAGCGAGCCAAATTAGAAAGATGCCAGCATGGACCTGTTGTGTGACACTCTCATCCTCAGAAAACATGAACATTACGGAACACACTGAGACTGCACGAAATACCGCTTTTTCTTACATATCTACACATATTAGCCACTTTAGCTGCTGTTTATGAACAAATTCCAGATTTTGATTTTATGGTGATTTTAATTTTTTTCCTTTAATAAACAACTTTGATCATTTTGGTAGCATGGGTAAATTTGGGTTCAAAGCCAGTTTGATGCTTAACATCCTTCTTGACCATGAAAAGCTTGTTTTGCAAAAGCACGTTGTAGCATTTGAGATAATTTCTCACTATTACTCAATATAAAAAAAATAAAATAAACATAAATAATATATATACATAACAAATCAACAATAAAGAATAATAAGTAAATACGTAAAAATAAATGTAAATCAATAAACTGAAATTTGAGCAGTTTGAGAAAAGTGCTAACCCTGCGTGAGCTGCTTGGTGAGGTCTTTGATGTTGGCCGCCTGTTTTCTCTTCTGAGTGACCAGTTCATCTCGTAATTCCTCCACACGTGTCTTTAGTTGTGATGTCTCCGTCTGTAGTGTTGTTCTCTCTGTCTGCAATGCCAGAACTTCCTCCTGTCTTTGTTGCACCTCTTTCTTCAATCTGTCCGTCTGAAAACATACACAAACCGAATAATGCTTCAAAATAAAAGCTTTTTGTGTGTGTGTGTATCTTTTAAGGAGTTGCTATAATTAAACTGCCCAGTCAATACATATTGATAGAAGTCTAATATCAAATTAGTGCACAGTGTTTTGAAGTAACCAACCAAAAGTAATAGTGTTATGACAAAATCGTAGCTATTTCAATAATAGTGTAGGTTTTCCAGAACCAAACAAAGAAGCTATTTATTCTAACAGGTAGCACTGTAGCTAGTGATAAGTAATCTAATTTATTTCATTGCAATGGTTCATTGGAATAAATGAGATCATTATAATTTAATTTCAGTCATTACTCAGTAGTGTTCCTGAATGGTGTTTTACAGCTCATTTTCTGTGGCTAATACATATTTAATTAAACTGCTGTTTAGAAATATTTTCACTTCAGATATAAAAACTATTATTTATTAATAATTGCAATTGTGATCAAGTGTTATGCTCTCCCCCTAATTAAGATCAATGTTTGTATGCCAAATAAATATTGCGGACAGTTTTAATAAATTATCTGTTAATTATATAGTTAAGATATTGCACTTTTAAACAGCTTGAATAAATGTGGATTGTAATATTTTTTTAGTGCCTTGTACTGTGGCCAACTACTTTCAGAGTAGCTTGGCTGTAGTTCAACTACTTTTAATTGCAAGTAGCTTGTTACTTGGCATCGTATTGTTTTTAGGAAACCTCCCCAACACAGAGCGGTTTAACACAAGCGATTTTCTTACCATCTCAGAGAGGGATCTCTCAGTCTCCTCTAGTTTGCTGTGCAGCTCTCTGGAGCTGCTGTTCAATCTGTCCAGCTGGGCCTGTAAGCTGTTGCTCTCAGACTGCAGCTGAGCATTTTTACTGGTCAGTTTCTCAGTGAAGCCCAGCAGCTCCGCCTCTCTTGTCCTGCTGCCTTCAATGTCCCTCTGCAAATCGGTGATCTGAGAGTTCAGATTCTCCACCTCCTCCCGCAAGGACGCGATCTCCTGATCATCCCTGAAAAAGACAGGTACACGTCAGACACGAGGACCAGCACGTGTACAGGCTGTGATATTTAAGCGATTTCCACCCTTGTCTTGTTTCATCATAATGGTGTACCAGTATTCCCAACTGACCAAATGACTCCACAGACCATAAAAGTGTCCGACTGAAGGCTCTAAATTAATACACTACAGACAAAGTGTGTGTCATTCTTAAGGAATACACATAACTCATCTGCAGTAGAGTTTTTAAATACCCTCAAAATAAGAATGAGCTAATAGAGCTGAATGACACGTTTATGTGGCCACCAGAAGTGAAATCAGAGCAGCCCCTGTGAGGCGGCCACGGAGGAATGAATTATTCTGTCAGCGCTGCAGGGGCCCGTGTGATCACGCTACAGTGGATTCACATCCACCTGCAGTTCCTGCATTAGCAGGGTCCACCAACCGCTGGGAGATCGCTCAAGGTCAGCCTGCTGAACTGATGCTGCATGCTCAACAGAAGCACGGCAAAATTAATGTGTCTAAGGATCTGAAAGTGGGATGCAGATGCCATTCAAACATGCTAAAGAGAATAAAGTCTGTAGTGTTATCTGAATTATTATAGATTAGAGTTGAATGCACATTTATATCCACACAAACAAAAATAAGGATGAGGAATGGGAGTAAAGTCCAGTGTAACAATTTTTTCCATTAGAATTTTTTTTTACATTTTCAGTTTTTTTAATTTCAGATTTCATTTCAGAAGTTTGAGTGTTGTGTGTTTTTGGCATTTTTATAGTTTTTTTTGTTTGTTTGATATTAGTGTTGCTGCCGTACTATGGGTGCAGCAGCCGTAATGATATTACGCAGCGCCTGAAAATAAGCTAACTTCCGTCAACATAACCAACGTGACCACCTGCTTGCACAGGGAGCGTGCTGGGGACTATTTTCAGGCGCTGCGTAATATCATTGCGCCTGCTGCACCCATAGTACGGCAGCCAATAACAACACCAGTCTATTCCATATGTTATATAGTTTTTTTCCCCCTTGATCTTCATTTTATTATTTAATGTTTACTTTATTTTCTTTTTTTAATACATAAAGGCTTCATACCGATATTTTAATACATTATTTATTTAGTATTATACATTAACAATGATTATTTATAATAATTATTTATAACTTCATTATTTTACATATATAAAACATGAATTATCAATGAACTATAGTACATTTACTATAGTATATTTATCAATATTCAGAATGCATTTATAACATGCATACCTAGATTAATAAATTCTGTACAAATTGTTCATTGTTAGTTCATGATATGTTGACTAATGACTACAGATAGGTTCAATCACACTTAGAAAATAGTTTAAAAGGATTGTGTTCAATAGAAAATTATGCCTTGATTGGCTGCAGTGTATAGTTTAGGCTCTGTGAGCTGGTAGCTGAACTAATAATAGACATGGTCAGTGGTAGGTTGCTGTAGGCACGAGTGTTCAGACCTCTGGTGCTGCTCCTCTAGTCTAGTGATAGCGGTGAGTTTTTCCCTCTGGTTCTGGATCTCAGCCTTCTGTCTGTTAATGATCTCTCTGTATTTGCAGAGTTCGTCTTCCCAGCGGGGCCGTTCATCCTCCAGACACTTAACCTGAGGGCCAGAGAGAGTGCAAAAGCGTCAGAATAATGTACTCTTACACAGAATAATTTCATAGTGTTATCTTTAGAAATGAGTTTCCACCTTGGTCCGCAGGGTGGTCAACTCATCCATGTCGTCTTTAAAAGTCCTCTTCAGATCATCCAACTCCTTAATCTTAGCTTTGTGCATCTGCCAATCAAACAAAATGACCATGAAAACCCCTCCTTTCGCACACCGCATCGCCATTATTCATTACTGTAATCACAATCAGCAGAGGACACCTGCTAGGCAACACTATGTTAATGATGCAAATGAGAATGCAAATGTTAATAACACTATTTCTTGCAGAGGGGCGACTCATTGATAAGGGAGTACACACTCTCATTGTCGGCCTCAGGTACTAATGACGCTTGGTGAATGGAGGCTCATTTACTCATAAATACATTTAAAAGCAGGTGGCAAGGTGCCATACGGGCCAAATGGTTTATCTAAAAATATTGATTCTAAAGTGCATTTTTTAACCATTGATTTTATTTCTTTATCAAGAAATTCGGTGCATAAAATAAGCTTCTAAGTGGAAAAATAGACTACATTAGCGAATAATTGTGTTGGATAGAACCATTTCTCCTTCTCATTGGAACACACGCAAATGCTGAAAGACAGAACCAATCAATCACAGACAGCATTCGCTGCTGACGCTTCGCTCACATAGCATAGAAATAGGGCTGCGTTTCCCAAAAGCATCAGAAGCATGAGTAGATCTTAAAGGGGTCATATGATGCTGCTAAAAAGAACATTATTTTGTGTATTTGGTGTAATGAAATGTGTTTATGCGGTTTAAAGTTAAAAAAACACATTATTTTCCACATACTGTACATTATTGTTTCTCCTCTATGCCCCGCCTTCTGAAACGCGTCGATTTTTACAAAACTCATCGGTCTGAAAAAGCGAGGTGTGCTCTGACTAATATTGCTGCTTTTAGTTTTTTTTCAAATAAGTGCAGCCTTGGTAAGCATGAGACTTAAAAAAATATTACAAAATCTTGCTGACCCCAAACTTTTGTGTACATGTAATATTTATTTTAAATTGGCTAGTTTGTGCAATTAAATTTATTTAAACTTGTTGTTAAAAGTTCAAATGGATTGTGTGATGTTCTGTAATTGCTGTTAATAAATCTGTCAGACAAAAAAATATGCTAAAGTTTCACCTTTAGGGGTACAACAGCCTGGCAGCCTTTTACAAAAATTAACCATGGTTTTATTACAGTAACCACAGTATTTGTAGTAAAACTGCAGTTACCACAAATTTACCATGGTAATAATAATAATAATAATACTACACTGAACAAAATTATAAACGCAAAGGGGTATAGTTGCACCTTTGAGGTTACTACCCCAGTAAAGGGCTAAAATACAATTATTGTATTTTTTATTTCTGACAGTGTAAACAAAAAAGGCCTATGGAATGTTAAAAAACATGGCTTTAAAATCTAATATTAAGTGAGTATAATCACTGATTATATATTTTTAATAATTTAAAAGATCAGTTTAGTTTATAGGTATCGACGATACTGGGCTTGAAAATATCGGTATCGGATCAAAAATAAAATAAGAGGTATCCATCCCTAGTGGCAGAGCCTGCTAAAAGAATCAAACCAAAGACATATGAGGTGTAATAAGAACAAACACCTGACCCCCAAAAGGTTTTAAAACTAACTTTTACGAGGCCTCTATTCCCTACCGAAGCACATTACTTAAATATGAATGAAGAAATTGATATCATTAGGGCTTAATATTATGACAGTACCTGCTGGGTAAGAATATACTGATATCATGCAAACAATCTGGATTGGGTTTTTTCTTAATTGTCTTGCGTTTATGCTTTTAAAATGACTTTGACTCAAGGGAATCTTGAGTGTAAATGAAGTGAAACTGTACCTCTAGCTGGTCTGTCTGCTCTTGTTTTTGCTTCTCCAGCTCTCCTTTGGTCTCTCGCAGCTTTGCATCCAATTCATTTGACTTAATCTCCTCAGATTCCTACAGGAGACAAAGAGAGGAGTAACCACTTAAGTTTATAACAAGCGACAGAAACTGCAAATTAGGTTATATACCCCCAGATGAAGATAAGCCACTTATATTATGTTGAGCAGAGGACTGAAGCAACCTTTTTAATAAACTATAAATGCGTCTACTTGAAATGTCTCTCCAAGTCATTGTTTTGCATTCTACATGCAGGGCAAGTGTTTGTATTTGGTGCCCTCTAGTGGGCAGTACTGATTTCCCGTCATCATCAGTAAACAGTACCTGGTATGTGCGGATCATATCCTGGCAGTTTTTGCGAATCTGTTCAGTCTCCTCCTTTGCTTGAGTCAGCTTGGAAGTTGTTTCTCTTAGTTTGTCTTTTGTTTCCTGTTATTTAAAAGACATTATTATGTTAATAAAAAAGTGTTGTTATTTTTAACTAAAACTATTATAAAAACTAAAATAAAGTTAAAATAAAATAAAGTATAAATATTAGATGAAAAATCTACTAATAAATATGTTTTAGTTACAGTACAGAAATGACTAAAACTGCATTACAAAATAAATTAACGCTACATATAACTAAAAAAAATAACAATGACAAAAACACATTACAAAAACACTTAAACTAAAATTAAAAAGAAAATTTTGAACCTATAAAATAAAATTTAACTCAAAATACTAATAAATACTATAATTAATAGACTAATATATACATAATGTACATAATTCACCAAAATAGACATTTTTAAGTAGCACGGGTATATTTGTAGCAATAGCCAACAATACATTATATGGGTCAAAATTATCGATTTTTCTTTTATGCCAAAAATCATTAGGACATTAAGTAAAGATATTTTACAAGATATTTTGTAAATTTTCTACCGTTAATATATCAAAACTTCACAATTGGTAGACAATGCCAATTTTAAATTTAAATGTAAAATTAAAGTCTTATAACAATCAAAACTCTAAATTCTATTTACATTATGACACATTACAATAATACCTTCAACTGGAGTGACTTTACAATAACACTGGATCTTTTTTTTTTAAATAATCTTATGAGAAAGATTTTGAGAAAAATTTGTGGAGAAAAATGTTGTTGTGCCCTTAACGAGTTGGATAAAGTAATGTGGAAATTAACTTTTCTCTTCATCATCACTGGAGTAGATCATGGCTGCTATAATAATGTGCCCTAACATGAAAAAGTGAGTGTATTTCTCAAGGCTTGTTCACAATATGTCAATTATTAAAAACATAACTATAACGTTAACTATATTAGCATCCATACTAATGAATATTAACTATAATATATTAAATATAATAAGCGCTGTTTATATCGTCTGCTGCTTTAATTGCACTAGCATTTTGAAATTGGGTGTATTCTGACTGGCTGTCAAAGTTTTTCAACATTCCTTCTCTGGAAAAATCATCCCAAAAGTGATTCCAATGATATTCCTCTGTGTTGTTAGTGTTACAGCTGTGATATAGACCGTATTCTCATAGAATTAGAATGAGTATTAACACTAGAACTACCAAGGCAGTCATTCTGACCGTTTTAAAATTTTAAAATGTAATAACTTTGTTGAAATAAAAGCCATACAACTATAAAACCCTGACTTTTCCTAAATGTGTGTATATTTTATTATAACATTGTTAGTTTATTAAAATTACAAAACACAAAAGAGTTCTGAGTATTTCTACCTTGAATGGCCAAAGCGGTCAAATTGACCGTTCGCATTACAGAAGGCGTATAATTTCTGCTTTTGCGACTTTTTTCCCGCGGTTGAAGATGCACATCAATGTTGCCTAGCAACTTTTGTTCTAGTTGTTTTTATATTCTATTGCTAAGCTAAAATAATGTCAGGTTCTGGACAGCTTATGAAAATAGATTCAAACTAAAATTGAAATAAGTGACAAAGGTTCCATTCAGGTTTAGTTCCCTTTCTGGCAACCATGTGTAGGAACCAAGTGTTACATTTTCTTCACAGTGCCACTATTGAATGAAAGTAAACAGACGGGCAAGGTTTCATTCAGAGGAAGTGTTTGTCTGTGTGGCCTCAGATGCCTGTTCTGACTACGAGGAGAAACCATGACAACAAAATGCACATAATAGTTTCATGTCATTACTGCAACACTTAATTACGGCTTCTCGACCTGTCCACACCCCCCTGTTTGATCTGTGCTGTTACTCTCTGTGACAGGGGGCTTGTTCAGATTGAACTGAACTACGGTCTCTCTTAGCCTAGAGTCGCTCTCAAACAAGCCCGCTTTTCCAGTATCAAATGAAAGCTGTTCGGCAAACAAGAGTTCTCTAATCAGTGCACAAGGGACAGTCATGGATACTGAAGAGGCATTTAAATAACAAATAGTGCCATTGAGCTGAACATACCTAAATTCTGGATACACTAGAAATTAAATGGTAACAAGAGCATAATTATACATGACTGTTCAAAGGTTTGGGGTCAGTAAGAATTTTTTATTTTTTTTAAAGAAATTATTCAGCAGGGATGCTTTAAATTATCTAAAGAGACAGTAAAGAGAGATTTATATTTTAATGCTGTTCTTTAGAATTTCGATTTACCAAAGAATCCTGAAAGAAATGTATCACAAAAATATTAAGCAGACCAACTGTTTTCAACATGTATAACAATAAGAAATGTTTTTTGAGCACCAAATCAGCATATTATAGTGATTTCTGAAGACTCATGTGACACTCAAGACTGAAGTAATGGCTGCTAAAAATTCAGCTTTGCCATCACAGGAATAAATTAGATTTTAAAATATATTCAAATAGAAAACACATATTAAATTGCAATAATATTTCACAATATTACTGATATTTAATGTATTTTTGGTGCATATGCATAGTCTTTGGACAATTTTCAAGCTAAACTGTTTAAACTTTACAACAATGTTTCTTGATCACTTCATTGTATCCCAATGGTTGGACAAATAGTCAGGTTATCCAAAACACAAATGAAAACAGACACACACACACACACAAAAACAATTTATGGTTGCCATTACTTTCTTAATGGTGCAAATATGCTGTTTCTCTGTCTCCATCCTCTTCTTCAGCTCATCCCTCATGTTGTCTTTCTCAGAGCAGATGCCCAGAATCAGCTCCTGCTGTACACACTTCTCAAATAAAACCATGGAATTCTGGTCCTTCTGAAGCCCATTGGGAGGACTTCCCTTGCGGATGCCATCTGACTGACTGTTCAACAGCTCATCCTCCAGTTCATCCAACAGAGACTCCTGAGACAGAGAGCGCTGGATCTCAGACAACAGTTTCCTGCTGCAGTCTGTGTCATATGGGTTCATGCTGGAGTTAGATTGTGAGTTTTGGGGTACTGAAACAACATCTGGCAGTTCCTCACCCTGGGGAGCCGGCGTAGGAGTCAAAGGAGTTCTGTTAAGTTCTGTTGGTCCGTTGAATGTATCAAGTTGTGTGGATGAAATATCATCTGTCCCATTCAGAACAGATGGAGAAGATTCCTCAACATTATTCTGAGTCCCACCTTCTGATTCTGTAACCACCTCCGCTGGTTCTTCAAGACCAGAACATTCGAGTTCTCCATCAAGAACCGCGGGAAGTGATTCTACAGCACTGTCGTGAACAGCTGGTGGAGTCCTGGCATCATCAATGGAGGCTGTTCCACTGTCACAGCTTGTGTTCCCATCACCCTGTGCATGTTCTCCAAGTCCTTCATCTTGCTGGACCTCCATGTGCATGTCTGGTCTCTGACCTTCTCTGTCCACACTATCTGAAAGAGTACCATCCAGCTCAAGACTGTCCAGCTCAGTGTCTTCCTCCTGTTCTTTTAAAACAGGTTCACCCCCATTGCTGAGGACATTGTTTGACCCTTCCGGAACTACACTGACCTCTGAACTTTGGAAGGGGTCAGAGGCAGGGGTCAGTTCGCTCTGACAATCCGACGGCTCCATGATCTCCTTCAGCTAATGGCACTGGAAAACAATACACCAAAATTCAGTCACATGCATGTGAAACACAAAACAAAATTAATTTTTATTTTTCTATTTATTTAAAAAAATTATTGAATCATGTTACAAAAATGGGTGGAGGGCTACAAAAAAAACAGAATTCTTTAGGAAACACTGGTGTAAAATGATGCTAATAATAGCATTTCATAATAACTGTTTATTATTATTATTGTTATTATTTATTATTATTATGTGTATGTATGTGTTTGGAAGACAGTTAAGTGTAATTATCATTACAGGTAAAAATCTCCTCGTGTCTTAATTCTAACACCAATGGACCATCAAAAATTGACTTCTATAATTAACAACAAGAAGCCACCATAAAACATTTCTTATCAGGGGATCACCAGGTCAAATAAAGCAAAACATTCATATGGTTATTTTACATGTATCAGATTTCCTTCTAGCACCAGGAATTGAGGATGTTGTGTACAATGTTTGTGCAAACAGTCTTGCCACACCTGCTGTCGGGACACTGCCATTAATAGAGCAAGTAGTAGTATACTATAACTGTCCAAGCCCACACATATCCACGATTGAGGTGTGGTACTCCCTCGCAAAATAGGAACACGGCTCTCCTTCCACCTGGAGGCAGTTTTGTGATGCCAGTATTGTGAAACTAAGGTGGCCCTACCCTTCTCACACCCTACCTGCTTAATACATCATTGTATCAGGATTCAGTGGATTACTGCATTCCCAGCTAAATGCCTATAGATGACACTGGAGAACACAAAACGGAATGCTGTTTACCATTGAGGAAACAGACACTGATTTTGTGTGATTCACACTGAATGAGTGAAACTGGGGCAGAAGCCCATCCAGCAGGATAATCAAGAATGTTACGAATATAGGCCTATTTTAGGAGCTTACTGTGAGAGTTAACCAGTGTGCAAGAATGGACCTTGGACTGAGCACCTTGTGCCCACATAAGGAGAATTTTTTTAATCCTTGAGTTGCAGGTTCTTTGTCGTTTCTCTTTAAAAAAAAAAAAAAAAAAAGAAGATTTTTGTAAAGGAAATAAAAATTTCATT